TTAACCCTTTGAAGCAGGGGAGGTTGAGACCTTAAAAACTTGTTCATCTCATTCCATATACTTAAACGTAACCCCTAAAACTCAATTGGCAAGGACACACCCCCGGCTAGCTGTGACTAAATATACTAATACGGCGGGCAGGAGGTAAGCTGTTTGCTGGCCCGAATCCCACTCCCACTAAGACCTCCCCCACACTAACTTACACAGAACATAATCCCACCCACACATTCTTTCCCAGAACAATAATCCCACCCACACATTCTTTCCCAACCACTCCTATGCATCTATCCCCACACTCATACATGTGCCCTTGTCCGCCATATCTCCAGGGCCTCTTCCAGAGAATTTGACTGTGCGGCCAGTCTATTTCCAATAGTTCAAATACTAAGTTCTGTTCGAATGCACAAACGGGGCCGTTCGTGCAATGACTCAAAGTTAAAGTGGCGTTCAAATTGTTGAGCACACTTCGATTTCCGTCGAAGTCTGGAGAAGGTAAAGTTCAGCGGTGTTCGTGGCGTCGCATGTGCAATTTGAGAAAAACATACAATTTACAATACCCCAAACGTACCCCCAAAACACATGGAAACCCCACAAAAGTCACATTCCCTGATAACTCCGATCTGGGTGAACAACATATCCAAAAATCACCCAAATCGTTTCAGGGGTTCAGGAATTTCCTGGAAGTCTTATTTTTGCCCCACCGTGTACATGGTCCCATGCCCAAAAAAGTTCCATACACTCAATGACAAAACACTGCTGGACAATTTAAGATAGCCGCCGCCACATGTTTGAATCTGTTCCAGCTAAAAGTCCAACGGGCAGAAATAGTACTCTTGAACATGAGTTTTCACAAGGCCCATAGTCCTAGGGTAGGAGGCTGGTAAACAGGCCCCTCCAAAAACCAGTTGCGAAGTTGCTTTTGTCACATTAACTATTTGCTCACTGGCTGCTAGCGTTGTCAGCGGGCAAATAGTTCTTGTAGATTGGTTCAGATAAGCTTAGAAAATCAATGATTTCTGCATATGAACCAAATTCTGACTGCATTTGGCTTTAGTAAATATGAGAATTGCCAATGCGGTTGGAATTCGGACCAGGCAGACCACACAGGGCGATGACTGATGACATCACTAGTTTGTGCTGGGAGTGAAGTTGGAGCGAACCGTTGGATTCTATCTCAGTCCAACCAAAGGTGTATGAATATGGCAGAGAGATCTAGTGTTCTGTGAAAGCAGGGGTCATATTTTCAGATATTTTCACACATACCTAAGTTACAAAACAAAATGTCATATCTTTTCATTAAATGCTGCAAGAAATCTTATAAGTAAATAAATCCTGGTGACAGTTGTCCTTTAACCCATATTACTTCTTTTGCATCTCTTAACCACCTGTATCTCTTGTCTGTTTCTTAACTCTCTTACCCTTACCCTTTTTATATATGCACAGTTACATGCATGCATACAGAGATATGCAATCATACATGCATACACAGACACACAATCAAACCCAGTCACAGTAGTGTCAGCAACATTTTTCTTTTGATCTGTGGCCATATTTCATAGCATTACATGATTATACACTCAATCACACATATAAATACCTAGACACACAATCACATACACACAGATGCACACATGCACATGCGCACAAACATACACAGTCATATGCACACACACAGTCACATACAAAGACCACATGCATGGTTACACATCCAGACGCACAAAGCCATATAGACAAAGTAGTCAGGTACACACACACAGATACACTTGGTAACATACAGTTACACAAGGAGACGCACACATACATATGCACTCAGTAGCACACACAACACAAAGTCAATTGTACACAGTCACACAACTACAGACAGAAACAGTAAGCCACCACACACATAATCACAGGCACACTGTCACACACATAGTCACGGTTACAAGGACACATAGTCACACACATTTACAGGTACAGCCACCCACAGTTACAGACACACTCCGTTACAGCCACATACAATTACAGTCAAACACACAAGTACAGGCAAACGCACAGACACAGAGTTAGGGGCACACACAGTCACCAAGTCTGCCTTCTGGGTCCTACCCAGTAGGCATGTCAAGTGGAGTCTGGAGCACATTCCCTGATAACTAGTGGTTGGGGATGAAGGGACTGCTTCACCCTCAGCATGCAGCTGTTTCCAGGAAAGGATAGCTGGGTCTGGGCTAAAGGAGTGAATCTTTGCAGCTGCTGCTTTGGTGTGGTTGGCGGTGAACCTGTACATCCATTGCCTAGGGCACCTGTTCCCTCAGCCCACCTTTTCTCACTGCAGATCTGGGAAATTTGGAGACCGTGGCAAAACCTTAAATTGTTTGGCATGTTCCTCAAACCATTTCTTAAATTTTTTTGCAGTCTGGCAGGGTGCATTATCTGGATGAAAGATGCCACTGCTCAGGGAACACCATTGCCATGAAAGGGTGCACATAGTCTGCAACAATCTTTCGGTAGGTGGCACGTGTCAAAGTAACATCCGCATTAATGCCAGTACTCAAGGTTTCCCTGAAGAACACTGCCCAGAACATGTGGGTACAAGGAGAAAGGTGGTTTGTGCACACAATAGTATATAGTAGTGTGACGAGACCAATCTTGCCACATTGCACTGGAGAAGCCTGGTTGCTCGCCTGTTGCCTTTGGATTATGGCCCCATGTTAAAAGGCTTGATTTTCCCCTGCAAAGACACGAAAGCCGGGTCATTTGGTGCTTGCCCTGTTTGAGCGGTGATACACACTTTTGAATGGCATGGAGCCCATTAGTATGTGAAAGACTATGGGAAAGACTTTCCATGGCAATTGAATATATGTGTGGCTGTGCTCTGGCCATTCCGGTAATAATATGCTCAGATCTAAGCTATCAGGATATAATTTAGATACTGTTTTTTGTGCACAGTTATATATTTTATGTGTTTTATTGTCTTTTGCTGCCATGTGTTCAATGGAGTTTTGCCTCTGTCCTTGGAGATAATTGGATTACTTCCCAATTATCTCCAGGATAGAAGACTCTGTGGAACTGATTTTGGGCAGAAAAGCCATGCTTCCTTTGGTCACAAAGGACTACGATCTATCTTTTGAACCACTTGACCAATTTTTATGATTTTGATGTATGTTTGTATTTGGAGTATGCTGATTCTGAAAATGTAATACTTTTCAAGTTATGGATAATGTGGAAAAATTGTATTTCTCTGCTTGTTATAATTACATTACCCATTGTGTAAGGTATTTGAATCACAGGCAGAGGGGAGGATTTTGTGTGGGAGTGTGTTCCAAAACCCTGTGGGTGGTACTAATGTGTATATAAGAACAAAAAACCAACAGCTCTGGCTGTTCACTGCTTGACCCTCAACACAGAGCTTTGTCTCGTTCTTGGGGGGATTTATTGTATGCTGTTCCAGTTTGACTGCTAGGAGTGTAAACCTATTCGTATGGTTTTTCCTATTCGGCTGTTTACAGCATTCGTATGGTTTCCTCTTCGGTGGATTGGTGTTCTGCAGTAGCTGTGCCTGTGTCTCTGGAAGGGAAGATCTACTAAATGGCGGTTAAACCCTTTTATGCCTGGGGGTGCCGTTACAAGTAGTTTCTGAATTTATATCTGCAAGTTACAAGTGTAAAAGACCATCATAGGGCAATATGTATACACAAAATATAAAATGAGAGATAACTTGGAACACTCACAATATTAAGAGCCATGTAAGTTGGCTCTAAACTATGATGGCATGTTCATACATCCAATGTTGGTGCTGGAAAAGATGCAGGTCCCCCTGGGGGTTTACCATTGCCCATCCACCTTATATAGAAAGACATATAGAAATTGCACTCCAGTTTCACTTATTCAATATTGACAATTTGGTCAGGTCCTAATATTGGATGAATTCTGGATATTGCAAATCATCTTCATTTCTTTTTATTAAAAAAAAAAAATTAAAAAAATCATCTTCTCGTTTGTGGTATTTTGTTTTTGTGAGTAGATTTGTACACAACATATATATCTAGCCCTGACTTTTTTGGGGGGTTTTTAAGTTATCAATTAAAAGTGACGTGTTACTTATTTATTATTTTTTCATTGATTCATGACAAGAGACATACTATTATTCTGTACTGCTACCTCCAATTCTCTCTCTTTTTTTTTCTTTATATCAACTTTAATGCAGGGGTTATCCCCCATATGGAGGTACCAGTCAACATAAGGCTCCCAATTCTCTTTCATTTCTTTCTTTTTCTATCAGTCTAGGTCCCCCAGAAAGTAACAGTATTCCTCTGGATGGTAGTACATGAACCAGGCATAAAGTTCAAACTAGCTCTTTATTTGAAATAAGCCCAACGCGTTTCGACCATTAACACTTAGTCTTCCTCAGGTGCAATACTGACAGATAAATATCACAGACTTATATATCATATAAAATAAATTCAAATAAAACACACATGTGAAATTTTAAAAATGTCCCAACTCTTTTTCTCCATATAAGGAAGTTCCAGTTTTATTTTGTCTCCTCCAATGTGGGGAAAAAGGTAGCTTCTATGAGTGGCTATCCGGAAAGACCTTCTCAACATGGCCGCGCATTGCGGCTGATCACGTGTCGTCGAATTACTTCCGGTACCGTCTTATATTAGTACTCCCAGCTGGCGTCATCATTGGAGGTTGTGAGCTTCAACTTGATCGTCCTTCTTAATCAGGGTGCGTGTACCGCTCACCCTGCTATGTCCATAAAAATCAGATGAACAGTGCTCAAAAACACCATGATTGACGAGGGAAGGGAATAAGGGCAGAGGGATAAATAAGAACTTATTAGTATGAAATATAAAGGTGTAGTATAGAAGGAATGAAAGGACAATTAAGAATATAATACATATTAGATAAAATACATATTAAATTTAAAAAATCATTTTGAATTGAAAAACTTTATAAAACACTAAACATTTTAATAGTTATACATACATAGTAATCAATAATTTAGTTATACACTAGATAAAGACAAGATAATATGATGAAAAAGTATATATATTAAATTGGTTAAAGGATTGATCCAATGTCAAAATCTATATTTAACCCCTTAGGATATAGGGTCTGTAATTCAAAAATCCAAGTACTCTCTTTCTTACTAAGGTTAAAAGCGTCTTCTCCCCCTCCCTAATGAGTTAAAACTTTTTGTTTGGCCATAAATTCAATTTCTTTAGGCTTAGAATGATGAACCTCTAGAAAATGTTTGGACATACTATGGTTTGAAAAACCTTTTTTTATATTTCTAATATGTTCATTTATTCATGTTTTAAAGGGGTCTTGATGTCTTTCCTACATATTGTAACCCACATTTGCATTTTAATAGATAATTCACATTTTTAGATTCACATGAAATAAAAGAAGGGATGGTAAAATCCTTTTTAATGATGGTAGATGTGAACTTTTCTTTCTTTTTCATCTCTTACAAGCGTTACAGTTACCACAATGGAAAAAAAACCTATCAGTTTTTTTGACCAATATTCTAAAAAAGTATTTTCCCGATCTTTATCCACATAACTAGAAGTTAAAATTTGTTTAAAATTTTGAGCGCCTCTAAAAACAAATTTTGGCTTTTTGCCCCAAAACTTCTGAATCTCATGTTCTTGCTGAAGTATGTGCAAGTTTTTAAAATACCTATATTACTTGAGAAATTAAAAATAAAAGGAATTTGTTTAGATGGTGTTCTGATTTCTTTCTTTGTATTCTAATAATTGGGATCTATTGAGTTCATTAACCCTTTTTATACAGGGAGTGCAGAATTATTAGGCAAATGAGTATTTTGACCACATCATCCTCTTTATGCATGTTGTCTTACTCCAAGCTGTATAGGCTCGAAAGCCTACTACCAATTAAGCATATTAGGTGATGTGCATCTCTGTAATGAGAAGGGGTGTGGTCTAATGACATCAACACCCTATATCAGGTGTGCATAATTATTAGGCAACTTCCTTTCCTTTGGCAAAATGGGTCAAAAGAAGGACTTGACAGGCTCAGAAAAGTCAAAAATAGTGAGATATCTTGCAGAGGGATGCAGCACTCTTAAAATTGCAAAGCTTCTGAAGCGTGATCATCGAACAATCAAGCGTTTCATTCAAAATAGTCAACAGGGTCGCAAGAAGCGTGTGGAAAAACCAAGGCGCAAAATAACTGCCCATGAACTGAGAAAAGTCAAGCGTGCAGCTGCCACGATGCCACTTGCCACCAGTTTGGCCATATTTCAGAGCTGCAACATCACTGGAGTGCCCAAAAGCACAAGGTGTGCAATACTCAGAGACATGGGCAAGGTAAGAAAAGCTGAAAGACGACCACCACTGAACAAGACACACAAGCTGAAACGTCAAGACTGGGCCAAGAAATATCTCAAGACTGATTTTTCTAAGGTTTTATGGACTGATGAAATGAGAGTGAGTCTTGATGGGCCAGATGGATGGGCCCGTGGCTGGATTGGTAAAGGGCAGAGAGCTCCAGTCCGACTCAGACGCCAGCAAGGTGGAGGTGGAGTACTGGTTTGGGCTGGTATCATCAAAGATGAGCTTGTGGGGCCTTTTTGGGTTGAGGATGGAGTCAAGCTCAACTCCCAGTCCTACTGCCAGTTCCTGGAAGACACCTTCTTCAAGCAGTGGTACAGGAAGAAGTCTGCATCCTTCAAGAAAACATGATTTTCATGCAGGACAATGCTCCATCACACGCGTCCAAGTACTCCACAGCGTGGCTGGCAAGAAAGGGTATAAAGAAGAAAATCTAATGACATGGCCTCCTTGTTCACCTGATCTGAACCCCATTGAGAACCTGTGGTCCATCATCAAATGTGAGATTTACAAGGAGGGAAAACAGTACACCTCTCTGAACAGTGTCTGGGAGGCTGTGGTTGCTGCTGCACGCAATGTTGATGGTGAACAGATCAAAACACTGACAGAATCCATGGATGGCAGGCTTTTGAGTGTCCTTGCAAAGAAAGGTGGCTATATTGGTCACTGATTTGTTTTTGTTTTGTTTTTGAATGTCAGAAATGTATATTTGTGAATGTTGAGATGTTATATTGGTTTCACTGGTAATAATAAATAATTGAAATGGGTATATATTTGTTTTTGTTAAGTTGCCTAATAATTATGCACAGTAATAGTCACCTGCACACACAGATATCCCCCTAACATAGCTATAACTAAAAACAAACTAAAAACTACTTCCAAAAATATTCAGCTTTGATATTAATGAGTTTTTTGGGTTCATTGAGAACATGGTTGTTGTTCAATAATAAAATTAATCCTCAAAAATACAACTTGCCTAATAATTCTGCACTCCCTGTACTTTTTGAGCGTGTATCTTCTTTAAATCCTTTTTGTAAAAAAACAAGTTTGTTGAGTTCATGGAACACCGCAGGACTTCCAGGATCACCTGCGTTCGGTTCTACACAACTTAGAAGGGCACTGTCCCACGAACAAGGTGAACAAGCTCCAGGGTAAGACTCTTGAATATGTTCGGTAGTTTAATCGGTTTTTAAACTACCGAACTAGACCGACTGCAAGCCCTGATTCTCTGGAACTGTTTTGGGCAGGAGCCTCATGTGTGGTTGGTCAAATATGACTTCCATGGAAATCCCAAACCCCTGAACCGATCTGGGTGATTTTATGATGTGTTGGTCCCCCAGATCAGGGTTATCAGGGGATATGACTTTTGTTGGGTTTCCATGTGTTTTGGTGTTTTTATAGTTCCTGACTCAATTATCTCCCAGGCACAGAGGAGGGATTATCTTGTTTTATGTGGGAGTGTCCTGGACCTAAGACCCAATGTAATAATGTATAGGTTTTTGCTGTAGTCTGCTCTCAGGTCCAGTGGGGAATGCCCCTGGAATATGTAACCGGAAACCCCTTGCATGGGGACCTGCATATAAGGCCAGTTGTGGCTGCCATTAAACAGAACGTCTTACCCCTTCATGAAGTCTAGGCTCCTGTTTGAGGGATTGGGAGCTATAGTCATACTCTGGGGATTGCTATAATCACTATACTCCCTTGGACCACAACACTTGCTCTTGTAAGAGCAGCCTGCTCTGCTCTCCAGACTAAGAGAGGTCTACCCACTGGAAGCTGGATCCTGGTCTTGGGCCCAGGGTGGGTAGAGGACAGCGAGACCTCAACCAAGCTGCGGTGGTTTGTAGGGTTTATGGTGGTGATGGTGTCCGGTGCAGTGCTTGTGGTACTCAAGGATTACTAGGAAGCAGCAATTGGCAGAGGTACCAGGTCGGGGTGCCAGGCGATCTGTCACACTAGATGTAGGAATATTTATAGAACACAGAACTTTATACTTGCATTTTTTTTTTTACTGTACAAAGGGCTTGCTTTTGTGGCAGACGACATGTACCGTGCACCATCATGGTAAAGTGGATCATACATTTGATCTGCATGGTTTATCACTTTACAACTGGGTCAAGACTTAGTTCAGTATGTTAATGCTCCATGCTGCATGGGATTTGTCAAGCTTTGCCAGTGACAAAAAGTTCCAAGGATGTGCAAAAAATATGTGCATGGTTTCCATAGAGATACGTCTAGCTAAGCAGTAGAGATTCTGAAAGGGCCAAGGAACAAGTGACAATACAAGGACTTAACGATTGATCTTAAGAGCCAGACTGAATTAATGAGATTTTTTCACAGGGAGTTATAATCAAGGCCAGTTTGGTATGGCACTTAGATTATTATGTTGAGGTTTTTTTAAGCTATAGTCTTTGAAATCATCAGTAGAAATATATAGTTGTGTTTTTATAAAACTCAATACAATTATTTTTATCTATATCATTAAAATGAACTAGTGAAAAACAGGCATTATTTTGGCATGTAACGAACATCACTGAATTATTGCCATTTAAGCTTTTTATTGTATTGAGATGGGTAATTCAGTAGTGCTTATTATATTAAGCGGCTAATGGTCACATACTGTGACAGCATTGGAACCTGTGGTACATTTTCAAGAGTAACATTTAATAGGAAACAAAGAAACAGGTACTTTATCAGTATAGAACAATTGCAACAAACCATGATCATATTTCATAGTTATCATTTATATCATGCATATAAATAATTACTAAACTGTTAATCAATATGATATATTTGCAGGAAGTTATAATCAATGACAGTTTTGCAATGTCCTTTAGTTTACAGCCACTAAATTTTGATTTTGCCATACACACTTGTCCAATAAAGTCAAGCATTAGAGAAGGGGAAGAGAATATAGAAGAATGCAGAAGTGACATTTTGTGACCTTCAGGAATATTCACTAAAATGAGAAAAGTAAAGTCAAAGTCAATTTCAAATGTAAGGTCAACAAAGCCAAACTGGAAAAATCCTCTAAGTCAGGTTCTCTGGCCTTAAATTTTAAAATGAACTTGAATTCTCTCTTTTGTGAATAAGCTAGCTAGTCAGTGCTCAAATTGTTGCAGGGTTATTAAAAAAAAGTCTGTATTGAACTGAGCAAAACTATATAGGGCCATTCAGACTGCAAAATCAGGACATTGTTCATGCTACTTTTACAAAAGATTTCAGCCAGATCAAACACTAACAGGCATCTGAAATCCAGACCTGAATGTTAGAAGTCCAGGAGCAGATTAAGAAAAATACAAGTTATTTGCCCACTGGCAGCAGTGGAAAAATAGTTTAAAAGTCATCAGGGCTGCAATGTTTAATCATGCAGTGCTTGCTAGCCAGCAACCCATTAAAAAATAAACAAACCTATAGACGTCAATAAGAGAAGTTTTAAACCTCCCTATGCCTGCACCTGCCATGTGGCAGGTGAGTATATATCTACTGAATATTTAAAACTAGCGACTGGGCAGACATCCATTGGACATTCGAATGACTCCACTGCCCCCACCCATGGTTAGTGGGTGAGGGCTACTTACGAAACAAGTGTCTCCCCAAGCCCATGCTGTTTGCTGCAGTTGGGGGACTTTTGTTATAATATACAAGAGGGGGACCTAATGTCTCCCACCACAGCCCCTACTCATTTGTTGCAGGTGGTAACGCAAATAATATATACATATATGCAAGGTGCCATTTTCCACCCCCACCCAATTACTGGCCACCCGGTGGCTAAGGGTCCCCTATCCACTTTCTCCTTATATTAAATTAGCCCTACCTACTCACCCTCACCCTAATAATATTTAGGGGAGCCAAGTAAAATTAAAGGGCCTTGTTGCAGGGATGGATTATGATTTGGGGATTA